ATTCCAAGACCCCCAGTTGATGGCTGAAACCATTGATGGTGCCAAATCCTGTGTCAATTTTTCTCATACATACATTTCTATGATAAAGCTGAATTTATAAATTAGGCTCAGAAAGAAATTAACAATAATAATAAGATCAAACAAATATAAACTGTAAAAAAAAGTTATGCGAACATATCTTTCTCTCAAAATATCTTATTGCATTGTACTCACCCTTCTTGTGAGGATGTGAGATGATACCATGCCTACACAACAAGACAAAGTGAAGTGGATGAGGTAGGCACTGAGATGTAAATGGAAAATTCCAGAAAAACAATTCATAAATGTTAAATTGCATGGCATCCTGAGTAGTGTGAGGAAATCTCACTCTTTCCCTTTCCATCATCACTTGGTACCTGTCTTGGTTATCAGATTGACTGTCACAGGGTTCTTGTGTTTCTGTTCAAGCAACATTTATTTTACTCGGTAATGGCCCGAAAGCACAAGAGTAGTGATGTAATACTTTCAGACCGAGGATGGCCACAGGTAACTGAACCCATGGGAAATGAAACCACAGATACTGGGGGACTACAGTAATGCAGTTTTTCTACTAAACACAGAATATACTAAGTGATCAAAACAGAGCTCTCATTAAAGATGGATTTAAACTCTGCTCAAGACAGGAACCTAGAGTGGGTGGATTAATTACATGCAGTGGGTTTGCACCTGTCTCACTGGATCCTGGACTCATATCCCTAAGTATACAGTAGCTTCCCAGCAATCAAAATAGAAAAAAATGTAAAGCTTTCCTAAAGTGTGAAAGGATATTCGATTTTCCTTTTTCTTCCAAACTATCAGTGAAATCTCTTGAAAATAGCTTTAGAGATGTAATATCAAGTGCTTATTTATCTTCCTCTTATAAATAACCTCTATCACTAATCTCTTTTTTCACCACAAGCCACATCGTTCCACTCAACCTTGAAAAACCTAACAATATCCTATTTCATCCTGGAGAGCATTACTCTATGCACAGCAAATTACAAATATAGTTGATCAAACATTAAACAGGAACTATATATTGAGAAAAAAATGCTTATTGGTTCTTAAAAATGAAAAGACAGGGAGAATTCTATGACACGTTGATTATATCTTAATAAAGCTGTATGCATTTAAAAAAAAAAACAAAAAAACACTCCACCGTTGGTGGTAGCCCTTTACATTTTGCCCTATTTTTTGATGATGTCTTGGAATCGTGTAATTCACTTCAGTTGCTGTTGCTGTTCTACTTTCCCCTTGGGCAACATTTTAGGATTATTACTTAGTCAAAAGAAGAGATAAAGATCTCCAATGAAAAGTCAGATGGCTGAGAAAGATGAAATTAACACTGACCTTGGACCCGCTTTCCTAGTTTCGTTCAGGAAATGTTTGAAGGAATTTGCAATGGTTGTTTTTCACCAGCAGGTCATGAAACTCGATTCTAACCTTATAATTTTCACAATCAAGCATTCTGGGAATTCCTCCTCTGTCCCTCTCTTCCCCGTATCTTCATTCTGACAGTAGGTGAAGTGCATCTACTAGGTAATAGGTCCTGTTTGAGAGTAATCAAAGTCACCTGCCCCTGCTCCTCTCAGGCCAGGTGCCCCTGTGGTCTTGATGGGGGTTGTAGGTGTTTTCATCATGTCATCAGCAATTCATAAAGTGGTATGTAGAGAGTAGATATTGCCTGTGAAGTTCCATTTACTTATCATTTGATTTGTTGCAGAAGTTTATAGAAAAGCAGGCCCATTGCCAGTCTCATACTAAGGACTCAGAAAACTTGCTTCTTGAATTACACTTGAGGAAGAAAGATTTCCTGATGCAGCAAATAGTGCTGAGGTTAAGTGATCCTCTCGCTTCAGCTTCCTGAGTAGCTAGGACCGCAGATGTTCACCACCATACTCAGCTATTCTTTTTATTGTATTTTTTGTAGAGATGGGGCTTTGCTGTTGCCCAGGCTGATTTCAAACATTTGGCCTCAAGCAATCCTCCTACCTTAGCCTCCCAAGAGCTGGAATACAGGCATGAGCCACAGTGTCTGGCCTGGTCTTTTTACAAATGGAAAATACATTATCTTTCATTATTTCTCTTTACCTAATAAACAAAAGGATCCAAATTAACTGTTGTTTGCTTTTCTCTTGGATGGATTTTATACCAAGAGTGTTTTGTAAAATACCTAAGAAACTTCAGCTAGAGCAAACACAGCAGCCCTACATCAAAACTGTCATTTACCAGTCTTTCGAGAGCTGGTGTCAGAAAACCTATTTTAAACTGGTTTAGGCACAAAGAATTTCTCTCTCACAACTAAAAACGCCAGTTTCAGGCATTCCAGTATCCAGGGCTTGAAGAGTGTGATCCAACTTGTGTTTCGTTCCTGTTTTGTTATTTCTTCTATCTGCATTTGATTATATTAGTTTCATCCATGGGCTCCGCAAAGTATCAGGCATTCCAGTATCCAGGGCTTGAAGGTGGTTTCAGGCATTCCAGTATCCAGGGCAGTTTCAGACATTGTCACGCATTCCAGTATCCTGGGCTTAAAGAGTGTGATCAAACTTGTGTTTGGTTTTTGTTTCATTATTCCCTCTATCTGCATTTGATTATATTAGTTTCATCCCTGGACTCCACAAAACTGCCCAACAACTCTGGGCTTTCCCTTTCTGGGAACAAAATGGCACCATCAGCTCCAGCCTCACATTTCCTCATGTTCCAGTTTCAGGGTGTCATGCATGGCCTTGTAATTTCCCCTTGGCTAAACAATGTTTCCCAGAGCTTTCTTCACTGAGTGTTGCTGATTAGAGTTGACCACAGAGAAATACATGTACAGTGGAGCAGAAGCATGGTTACTCTTGGAAGGTGGATGTAGCTCAGGCCATGATTGCACCAGTGCACTCCAGCCTGGGTGAGACAGGGAGACCTTGTCCCCCACCCCCCAAAAAAAGCCAGCACAAAGAGAGGAAGCCAAAGTTTCCATTGTCCATGAATGGGCAGGCTTCTTGATTCTTTCATTAGATGATAATTGAACTCTTCTCTATCTCCCCTTCACCCATTTCTTGATTTATCATCATGATATAAAAGGTCTAAGTGAGCACTGAGTATATATTTCCTGGGAGTAAACCCACAGAATGGGTTTTTCTACTCTGCTAAGAAGGGGTACAGTAGCTGGTTCTATTAGGTCATTTAACTTAATATCTGTAAGGTCAACATTATGCCAGATTTGCCAGTTCCAGATTCTGCTTAAAAGACTAAATTTGGTAGAACCAATTTAAGTAAAACCAATAACTTAATCATAACTAAAGCTCTGATTTTTCAACAACTCACTATATTTTCATGAACAAGTTAAATGTCCCAGTAAATTTCATGTATTGGGTTTAAGTGAGCATGTACATATTAGGAATATTTAAAATCTCCTTCCAGGCACAAAAGGACAGAGTCCTGATACCTTTAAGAAGAGACAGATTCTTCCAGTTACTCATAGAAAAATAATTAACAAGGAAATGATGGCAGAGGATAAAATGTACTACATTAACATCAACGTGAGGCGGCTTAGCTTGCTACCTCTTCTCAGTCGCCATCTCTTTAAATGTGGAATATGATCATTGGAAAGAACATCTGACCACCTTATTAACACTTTCTAATTCTACAATGAAGGCAAGGCATATAGTTAGTTGAATTGATCATTATTAATTAAAACCTTTTTTTAAAATGGGAAAAAATACATTTAACAAGAAGTTCAACAAATGACACACTAGGGAAAACAAGCCTTTTTCCAAACATATTTAACAGAAACAAGTGCAATATTACACATATTTTATAAAATTATCTTAAAATTATACTGAATAAATGTCCCAAATTATTGTAATTTTTATTCAAATATGTTTATACTTTAAATAAAACACAGAGATTTTAATTGGTTTTATAATCAAAACTATTTTTGTAGGCATTTATTACCTTATGAAAAGCTCACTTGCTATAAATGACGCCTTAAAATAAAATGATTTTTGGCTCTTTTGTACAATCTTTAAAACAATTTCTCCAGTAGAATTATGTGAAATTTCACCTATCTTAAAGCAAATTAGAGGGGCTTATCAAAGATCTTTCAGTTTCTATAGCAATGAAGTAAATTTTAATATGGGGGTTCTCAAACTGGGTTCCCTGTACCAGAAGCATCTGTATCACCTGGGAACTGATTAGAAATGCATCTGATCAAGCCAGGTCCCAGACCCTCTGGATGAGCAATTCTGGTGGTCGACCCCAGCAGTCTGTGCCAACAAACCCTCCAGATCATTTTCCTGCTGCTGAAGTTGAAGAACCATTGCCATAACGATTGCCTGGTCTCCGGCCTTGACAATGAGACTGGAGCATGTTTGGCAGTGTGCTTTGAGAAGCTCCTAGCGAAACCAGTGCTGATCTTCTAACTCAGTACTCAATCACCATACTCCAGTTTATTTTAAATAGCTGGAAGGCAGTGCCTACTATGTAACCAGTTTCAAAAGACTATGTAAAGAATAAATGAGGATATGTGTAAAGTGCTTAGTGTGCTTATGTACGTGTGCTAAATGTGCTATGCTTCACATACAGGGGACATTATTTTAATGAAGATAATTGGTATGCAAATTATTACTCTTAATTTATGTTCTCTTTTCTCATACAAAAATAAATAAAAAATACATTCTACTCATTGAACATTTATAGACATTTAAACAGAAGGTGAACAATAGAGGCCATTTGGTTCAAACTTCTTACTGGTGAGAAAACTGATGACCAGAGAAGCCAAGCGACAGGTCCACACTCACATAGGAAATAATGGACAAAGATCATAAATCACAGTTCTCAATTGCTGGGCTACTGTCTTGCAAAGAAAGACTTTCATGCTATACTTATTACAACAATACATACTATAAAATTTTCTCCTTTGGCCTTACTAATTATTGTCCATTGCTAACCTCTCCATCTCTACTCCCTCACATATAAACTGACACTATTACTCAAAATCATAAAACTATTTATTAGGCTTAAAACTTTCTGGATGTACATAAATAGAAAATCAAGTAAAATATACATGCAAAAAATACACATTTCTACAATGTTCAGTGAAATCTTGATGCTGAATATCAGATACATATCAGATGCTACATATGTACAAATTCAAGTTTCCTGTGTATATGTGGTCATTTTATTTTGTGCTGTGGACCAGTAAATATAGATACAAGAAACAAACCTTCAACATGTCATTTTATTCTGAAAAGACGTCTTTGGATTATCTTAGCAATCATGATGTTCTTTAAAATGTCACTCTCACTAAACCATACAGCAGCATGTGAAAAGTTCATATAGGAGGAGGAGGAGGGACTTACCTATGTATAAGAATAAAAGAAGATCTATTTTAATTTTAAAAGCCTCCAGTGACATTGTTGTTCATTATTCTCTTTTTTTATGCTACCTCAAATATTCCTTAGATAAAACAATTACAGAAAACATAATTTATAGGAGCGCAGTATAAAAATTCAAGTCCTTAAACGTCCAATTATAGCACTGTACAAATCTGAATGTAAGTTCTCTATTGTCTGTTCACGTCACACATTCAAAGCTGATTAGTAGCAGCAATGTTTTTCAGCCCAATGTCATCCATCGATTTAGCATTCTACTCCTTCCAGAAACCTAGTCATCCCCAAACTGTAATCTTTATATAGTATGTGCTACATTACAGGCCATAAAAATGTGCTGCATCCATTTATTAGTATGAACAGTTAATGACACATTATTGAATGCTCCTCCTTAATTGGTTCATATAAAGCTTTAACACAAGGAAGTAGAGGATCTGTGGCGTACACAGAAAAATTATTATGTTTCAAGCTGGGCACTGAATTAAAATCTTATCGTAAGTCATGCATCATTAGACAAAAAGCCTGAGGAACTGAAAGAACCATGTAAGCATTTTCTACTTTCAAAACGCTTAAAGAACTTTTAGATTAATGGGATTTGATGCTTTTAATGATGTCAAAGACGGGATATAAGTGCCTTATTAATTTTATTGACTTACTGCCAAATATTAAAGGCAATTCACGATTACTAATTTAATCTTTTCTGATTATGAAAATCCATTATATAGAAAAAATATAAAGTTCAGGAAAGTAGAAACAATTTATTTAAAACATTAGAATATATTTATACAAACAGAATATTTGGACTTAGGCTTAAAATTCCTCTGGAAGACCAGGAGCAGTGGATCATGCCTATAATCCTAGCACTTTGGGAGGCCAAAGTGGGTGGATGACCTGAGATCAGGAGTTTGAGACCAGCCTGGCCAAAATGGTGAAACCCTGTCTCCAATAAAATCCAAAAATTAGCCAGATATAATGGTACATGCCTGCAATCCCCGCTACTTGGATGGCTGAGGCAGGAAGATTGCTTGAACCCAGGAGGTAGGGGTAGCAGTGGGTGGAGACAGCAACACTGCACTCCAGCCTGGGCGACTGAGCCAGACTTTGGCTCAAAAAAAAAATTCCTCTGGAAGGATTTGTTACAATATTATAAATATTTGCGTGTATTAATATTTAAACCATTGTTTCATCCTTACATGACAGATATTATGTTTTTCATTCTTTAAAACTCTTATTATTGTTAATCACAATCCTAATACATGATGCAGTATAAAGCCGAAATGATTTATTTAATCTTACTACACTAATCAGCTAACAAGACCTCTGTCTTCTCAGATCTTGGAGCCTGGGAAAACCCAGTTACTAATTCCCTAATATCCCTTCCCAAAATTCTCTGGTTAGCTGACATGTTAATAAGATTCCAAGAATGATTCTTAAGAAAGCAAAATCACCACGAAAAACGATTATGCTAAAAGTAAAAACTGCAGTGTTTTTCCTTCTCCCATAATTTATCTTCAATTAAAATAAATTCTGTCCTTGAATGTGTATACATGACTCTTTGGTCAGGCTGTGTTCCCTTATCATCAACTATAATATCGGAAACCCTAAAGATTGTTCTTAAACCCCCACTTTGAATTACCATTTACAGCATACCAAATACCCTAGGGTGGGTGTATTAAAAGCTCTAAAAAGATTCTGCTTTTCCTTTCTAGCCAAATGGACACCTTTTATTCAGGTTCCCAAAACAAAATCCTTCTTCAGCTTACTCACATTTCTTTGAGGCTGTGTCTTTTCTTTCTAAATTCCAGCAGCCTTAATGTCCCTAATGCGGCCTCTTCTTGCTCCATCCTCATCTCATTCTTGAATCTTTTATCCTTTCACTACTTTACTCATGCCTCCTGCACCTCTTCAGCTCCCAGCCATCTGAGAGCTTCAGTGCTTTGTGGGATCACCCCTTATACTCCATCACACAAGAGACAATGCTTTCTCTTCCATCAAGTTCATTATTTCTTTCCAAGCAGAAATTGACCCGACCCACCCCCACTTCCAGTTTCATATGATGGCATCTCTATGTTTGTATCTCATAGCATCACAACCTCTCCATTGCTACTGTTATTATGCATGCCATTTTATATTTAACAGTGCCATTTTAAAAATTAGCTATCACTTAGCACTACTAAAGTCAGAGTTCGTGTTTTTTCCATTATTAATCTCAGGCATCTATATGCCTGCCAAAAAATAGACACATATACTCTACCTATTGACTGAATGACAATAAATGAATGACTATCCAAATACTGGCCAATAAACACTGGCTGGCAACCAGAGGATTGAACAGATGAGGAAGCACAGAACATCTTTGTGAACTCTGCCAGTCATTAGTATTTATACTGGCCCAGGGTCCTATATAGTTTTTTTCTTCCAAAACCTTTATAAAACACTGTGGTGGCCTTGTGTGGTGGCTCACGCCTGTAATCACAACACTTTGGGAGGCAGAGGTATGTGGATCACAAGGTCAGGAGTTTGAGACCATCCTGGCCAACATGGTAAAACCCTGTCTCTACTAAAAATACAAAAATTAGCTGGGTGTGGTGGCACTACACCCAGTTACTCAGGAGGCTGAGGCAGGGAAATCACTTGAACCCAGGAGGCGGAGATTGCAGTGAGCTGAGATTACGCCACTGCACTGTAGCCTGGCAACAGAGCTAGACTCAGTCTCAAAAAAGACACAAAACACTTTGGTACACATACACACACATTTGTGTTTGCGTGAGCATGCCAACATGAAGATAAATCACTGTGGTATACACACACACACACACACACACACACACACACACACACACGTTTGCAGGAGCATGTCAACATAAAGATAGCAGTGTTTTTGTTGGTTAAGACTGCTCTACTCAGTAGTGATAAATCAAGTTTCTGGTGGTGGTTGTTTTTAATGACTCACATCATTCAAAATCCCTGAGAGCTAAAGAACTATTTTACATTATAATCCTGCAGTCCCAAATTAGGCAGGATTAGCAAAGTCCCAAGATGGTGAAGGAAGCTGATGAAAACTCTAGGTCCATGCATGCAGACAACAGATTTCTGATAAGTCATATTTTCCAGACAGTCTTTCAAGAGATGATGAAAAGAAGTAACAAGTCTCAATTAAAATGAAATGATGACTGTTTCCCTGTAAGTCTTAACATGTATTTTTTTTTTACTATTCTTTTTATGCAGTATGATTTTTTAAAAAGATATAGAAACAGGTTTTTCAAGAAGAAAACTGACTTTGCACTGGCTATGTAGCCTTAGACATTCTCTCCCGTCCTTAGTTTCTCCACGTGAAAAATAGGGGTGATGCTTGCTATCCCTGCCGATGAATTGAGGAGGGCAGGTTTGGAAAGCATGCAGCCGTGACTGGCCACTGGGTGTGTGCTTGTTTCTCTTCTTTCTACCTGCTTCCTGGGAACACTGCCGGGTTCATGTTGATAGCCTCCAGTTTATCCAGGTATCTGTGTGATGTAATTATTCTAACAGCTTTAACTTAGGAAATTAAAAATAACATTGAAATAGAGGGCATTTTTCTTTTTTCTTTCCTTTATAAGAACAAAGCAACCTAATATTTGTATTTGAAACATACACAAAAATACATATTTGAAGATAAAACTCGTCTTGGTTATCATATTAGGCCGTGCTTTCATCAGAAAAAAGTTGTTTTTGAACATGAAGAAAATTAATATAAGGCTTTTTCTGAGATTCTTTCTTTCTTAGACACACATACACACATACATACACACACACACACACACACACACACACACACAGAGCATTGCCCCATTTTCACCTCACCATTTCCCCTCCCATCAGAAACACACCCTTTATTTCTATACTTTCTCAGAAGTGGAGAATGCGGTTACTCTCAAAACCTCTAAGGAATTTACTAGTATTAAAGCTCCAGTTAATTCTCTCCAGTGTTTGGTCACAGGGTTTTTCATTCTGTCCAAAGCTGATTGAAGGTCTTGTAACATGTCTCTGTAGTTATTTCCATAGTGAGCACTCCAGGTATAGAGGAAATCATACGCAGGTTTCCACATCATCTATAAAGAGAAAAAATAGACTGGAGTAGTGTGGAAGTTGAGATGAGAGGAAAATAGATTTTTTTAAAAAAAGATATGAAAAGCCTCTTCAGACTTAAAAGAAAATGAAATCAATTATACATGGACTTATTTGATGTCATAGAAAATATGCTTTAATAACTACCAAGTTTCCTGTTACATCCCTGTGTTTTTAAAACTAGAGATTTTTTAAATAATAACTACAAGTGGGGGCTTATTTCCCTTGATTCATCATCTGTACATTGCTGTTGCCTTAATGTGAATATAAAATTCCTTGCACAATTTGTGGATGATAATAAACGTTATTGAGATAATCTTTTTACTATTTGAGAGACTTTTAAGGTTAAAGTAATAATTTTTATTGTTACACCTCTCTGTGGTGAGTTTTATGACACCAAATATCATATAAGGAGCTAAACAGCATATTTAACATTTTAAATCATTTTACTTGATCAAGTCTATAAACAAGCAAAAATGTAGCTTCATAATCAAGTCAAAATGAAAGTAAAATATAGCTCTCTAATTTAAAATATTTCTTTAATTATACATTTTATAACCTAAAGAAAAACCAATATTCAATGCTGCTTCTTTTGGCTGTTCCTAAGCACCTACCCATACCAATGATGTCATTGTTTCCATAGAAATAAATGTACGTCAAAGAGAAACTTCACATACAAGCATGTATGTAATGGTAACCTAGGCAACCAGGCTAGGGTGAGAATAGAGACAAAGGCAGACCAAACAAGACAAATTGTAGTGCGCACGCACACACACACACACACCTCTCACACACACAACAGCTTAAATTTTCTCTTTGAAAACAACAAAATGGATCCTGCATTTATAACTGGAATATTTGAAAAATAAACTTTATTATTCAATTATTTTGGAGGGGTTCGCTGAACTAATTTGGTTGTGATTCTATCAATTGCAAAATGTAGAAACATAGACTCTGAGCTAAACATTGTGCAGAACTGCCCTTTTAAAGCAGATCCTCCATCACAGTTCAGTAATATCACATGAACTAATGCCTTGGCATATAATTTTCACCATCCTCCAATATTCTTGTATAGTCTAATTTTAAAGTTAAAAGACTTAAAGACCTAAATAAGGAGCTCCATTATGTTTTGATTCAATCCACATACGAGGCTCTAAGGATAATTTGATGTTATTTGTCCAAATTGGCATTCCTGGGAAGCCATAAACAGCTATTTTCCTGTCTCTCTTGACAAAGCTTAATTTTGCAAGGTAGAGAATAAAAGACAATTATCAAAGTTATACCATATCAGTATGTGATGCAGTAGCAAAAATCATCTCAGATTTTTGTATATAAGTTTTACCCTCACCAACTTTACCAATAATTTTATCTTCTATGATTGATAGCATGTAAATGACTTATCCTCTCATCTATATTTCTGAAGATTTGCATTGAAATCAAACTTTTCAAAGTACAATTGCTACTACTGTCTCAACAATGGAATATCAGTTGAGATATAATAATAGAACCTTTCTGTCAAACTCAGTCTTGGTTGTCACTGCTTAATTGCAAAGAATCACTAAACAAATAGATTATTCTGTAGTGGGTATATTCTGTCTGTAAAATCTCTGAGTTAAAGATTCTATCTTGAATTCACCTAAAAGTCCCTGATGCTCAACTAACTGGTTCAAGTTGTCATGTATTTTTTAAAATAATGGTGTTTATAGCTAAAGGCTTCTAAGACTGTTCTGAGTCTCTTAGTAGCCAAGTCTGATAAATGATATATTTGAAGATATTTTATGATAAACAACAACTTTAAAAGTTTCTGTAAAAAGTGGATGGCATAGAATAGCATAAAGCATCGCAGAAAACAGACATCTCAAGAATTATAAACGGGTAGTTTTAGGATTGTCCACTACCCTACAGATTCAAATACTTACATAGACAGAAGCAGCCCAAATGGTTCCACCTGCTTTCATGGGTAGAAAAGCTCTCTATCTATCCCGTCTTGCTGTAGCACTGTGAATTTCTATGTATAGAAAAGCCCTTAGGCATACTCAATGAAGAAGCAGCTTCTCTATGCTGTTGAGGGCAGGAAATACCCCAGGTGATGCAGAAAATAGAAACTACAGATTCAGGAAAGGTCTGGTGACACATCTACTCACACACTTCTGCAGAGCACCACAGGATGTCCTCACATTTAGCAATTTGTACTAACAGAGTAGTACCAACAGCTCTTTCAAATCAGAGAAATTTGGGTACATTACTGAGCTGTAGGCCCTAATTAAGACTTCTGAAGGTGTAAAGGCTTTCCAAGTATCCCCTGAATTTGTCTGAAATGCAAGCAGGAATACTGCCCTAAACCAATTTGAGATTCCCTAGAGTGCAAACCATAATCTGGCTAGAAATGGGTACAAGAGCATTGGTCTGAAAACAATAGAGTGTTGGGAAACTTTATGATCTACCCTAAAATATGAGCATATTTTGCTTCCATTTTTCCTCCTCATTGCAGCAAATTAAACCTGAATATTCATTTGGTACAAAATTTCATCTTCTATATACAAAATCATTGGAAGCTCTCAACAATGATGATAAACACTTTTATAACACAAATACAAGGAAAATATTCGATATTATCATTGTTCATTAACTGATTATTTCACTTTCAAATCAAGGTTTATTGAGTACCTTCTACTACAATACATTTTGTTACAGTAGGAAATGAAATGATGAATATTGCATGACTCTTGCTTTTAGAAGTTTCTAGCATAGGAAGGAGATAGATACTTGCACAAACACTGGCAAAATGGGTAAAATAGATAGGATGTGATCATAACAGAAAAACTCAAAAATCACTTGCATATTTGAAATCCACATGAGGGAAAAATGATTGTTCCACTAACTGAGAGGCATGACACCATAATGGAAAGAAAGATAGGTTTGGGAGTCAGAGTCCTGTGTTTACATCTGAGCTCCGTTGCCTATTTGAGAGATCAGTTTGATAAACTAATCAAGTTATCCCAGCTTTGAATTTTTTTAATCTATGAAATGTGGATAATGATTCCCGAGTTTTGTGTTCAAAGTACCTCATGAAGTACTGGCATATAGTTCGCATTTAATGCTTTTTAATAGGACAGTAATGGAAGTACTTTTTTGGGGGCAAGGGCAAGCTAAGGAGCTTATTTTCTGCCCTACTAAGCATCAAGCAAAAGAGAGGATATCTGATAAAAAATTAAAATTGGAATGGGGAGATCACCTCGAGAGGACAGAAAAGGGTTTAACATCACTCATGCTATAAGGATGGTGAAACACATGAAAGTAGAAAAAAATGCCAAGAAAGAGAATAAAGGGATGTAAAATTTAATTCTGAATGAAGTCAATGATTAGTGGCTACAAGAAAGAAATAGAAGAAATAAAAGGAGAAGCTGGAGTCAAAAAGAAAGAAAGTGAATCACATGCTTCCTCTTGCATGTGATATACTCCTTGGCAAAAGCCAAGAAGTATAATAACATCCCAAGAAGGACATGCATTGGCTTGCTGGAGCCAGCTCACACAAGCTCCCTCATATCCTCCCAACTCCATGTTCAGTGACATCACAATGGCAGGTTAAAATGATGTATGATCAGAATATTTACACTAAGAAAATTAACAAAAGCTGTAAGTTAGGGTCTTTCCCTTTGCAGGGCGGGTTGTTTAACATATGCCAGTGTGACACTGAGGACTCCCCTTTTCTGTTACCTCCACTGCTACCTGTAATATCAACAAAGTGGGAACATAAATAAAAACTTGGCAAATCCAGGATTTTGGAAATTAGCAGGCCTTTGGTAACTTGGAGAAGGCAGTTTAAAGAGAATAGTAGGGGGCATACAACAGGTATGAGCAGGTATAAAAGAAATGGAAGACACAGAACAAATGGGTGACATCTGAAATTTAAGTGTCGAAGAGAGAGAGAAACAGAACAAGCAGCAGTAGAAAATAGAGGTATTTAAAAAAATTTTTTTGCCTTTAAAATGTAATATTTTATGATGGCAAGGAGATTTGGGTTTGAATCTTAACGTTGCCATATGGAGAATTTAAGGTTAATGAGAATTAAAGAGGTAGCATATGTAAAGCACCCAAGAATAAAGGTTAACTTCCTTGGCAGAAACAAATACAAAAGGATGTTAAAATCATTATGAAGTTAGGGCACAAAATTAGAGGGGCAAGTATCATGAGAAATTGAGAAGAAATGGGGACAAAAGCACATGTCAAGAGTTATGTACTTAATACACTGATAAAAAATATTAAATTTGGGGAACTATGTTTTCCCTTAATAAGTAAATCTCTGCCAGGTGATTATATTTAAGCCTTGCTCTAACAAAACCTGATTAATAGGCTGGGTTTCATCAATAGAGTGAATAGGATAATCAGTTGTTTGTTTGTCCTTTGTGGAATAGATATATGAACATTTGGACACAAGTTCTAAAGATGCTTTTTTTTCTCTGCATTTCTTATTATCTCATTTCACTTTAGTTTCTCACAAAGTAAATATATGTTATCCCTGGTAGGACATAAGAGGTAATTTGTGTACATTATTATGCCCTAAAATACCTACCCAGTAAGGTCACATAAGTTTCTAAATTTTGTAATAAATTACAAAGAAAATGAAGTCATCTTTTCTGGAAATGTTTGGAGGATTAAAATGGGTAAAATAAATAATTTTCTTTTCAGGCTGACCTAACTTTAATCCTCCAAAGGCTAGAAGGAGTTGCAGACAGTCAAGATCTCAGACAGCCAGATTTATGTTGCCTTGTATCTATTCTGCGTTTTAAAAATAGTTCTTCCTCTCTTGCTCAATGTTACGATTAAGAAAAGATATGCAGAAACTCTGCACTTGTGTTTCAAAAAATCCAAAGGAAAGCATGCTCCTGACAGTTTGTTTTTCAGTTGTTAAATTATTCTTAATCTCATACATTCTCTTAGCCTTTTCGTTTCTATCACAAATATTTAATACATAGGCTGCATTCTTATGTCTCTATTCTTAGATTTTTAATGGTAACTTCATGATATTGCAGTCTCGTTCTTGAATAGGAAGCATGAGGCTGATAAAAGCACATAGTTGTTAACTTTTCATCGATGTGTTTTCTCCGTATAAAAAGGGCAACAGCATGAGTAAGTACCTAACATATGAAGTTGAGCAGTTTTCCAAAGTTCCAGCTTAGTTTATCTTTTCAGTGTTAGAAGACAAAGTAAGAAGTAAGGGAGCAATAAAAAGTAGTAAGTGGGATGACAAAAGAAATGAAATAGGAATAAAAATAAAAAACATATAGTTTTCCAGATTTAGAGTGCTTATTCCCAGAAGCCAATAAGACTCATTAGATAATGCACTAGATAATGAAAAGCAACAGGAATAAAAGAAACTCAGATTTGAGCATAGCAGTCTATGTCTTTTCTTAGCTTATAAAGCATGAACAGCATAAAGAGTGGAATTGGTTTTAACTGCTTTTGGATAATTACATTTTGCCACATGAAAGTATTAATCATCCACTGAGTTTTCTCATAAACTTACAGGAAAAACATTTCATTTTCAGTACCATTAGCTGAAGAAGTATCAAGGCAAGTTTGCCTTCTTATTGATTATTACATGCATTCTATTCTCAGTACATCATTTACAATATTCAGGTAAGCTTTATCATCACCTATAATTAATAAGTTCATAAATATTTTTGAAGGTAAGATTGTTGTTGTCTTCAGAAGAGAAGAGAGGCTGACATCAGAGGGCCCCTATGTCCTCATCACGAGGGAGATGCTGCTTGGTTAAAACTTGATACGAGATTCTGTTAAAAAAAAAGTCTGGTTGGTAACAACTAGCTAAGTGTGGGTGAGAACAACCACTTGGAATTTCAGGGGGTAAGCATGAGCCAGAGGAAGATAGAGGACCTATTCCTTGCTAGTTAGCGCATCTGCTTAAACAGTCAGAAAACCTGCTGTTAAGCCATTCTTATCAATTCCTAGTTGGGAGGATTCCTCATTGACTCCTTATCATCACTGCCACCCACGCTCCTGCCAAAAACATATATTCCTGGAGAAAACTAAACATCAGAGTTTAAAGAAACTGGGCTTCTCCAATTTAATTTTTTAGTGTAAACATTAAAACAAATGAGAAAATATAGTGTCAAGAGCTCTGGATTTAGAGGCACACATCGTGGTTTCAATCTAGACTCTCGGTTTACTAGCTCCAGGATCTTAGGTAAGCTATAAACTTTCTTCAGGGCCTTGCTTTGCCCTTCTAGCAACTAAGAAAAAAAGGTGTACCCAATGCCATAAAAGCATTGTTAAGTATACAAAGGAATGGATGTAAATATTTCCGGCACACACTAAGTGCTCAATTAAGGCTAATTCTAGTTGAGTTTAAAGTTAAGTAACAAAATCACAGTCAACTATCCAGGAAAAGAACCGAGGTAACCTAGCTATAAATCCAGGGCCATTTTACTAAAGTATTGCCACAACTTTATTTCATTATTAAGCAGTTCTAACAAATGCTGACTTAAGTCTTAACAAACAGCTGGATTTTGGTTTTCTGAAATTTCTTATTGTTTATGTTCCCTAGTACTAAAGCTTGAAAAAGAAAACGTAAAACCAAAATTAGTGCCTTAAAATCCATTTTAAATTTTCTTAATAATGTTGAACTTAATATGCTTGCTATTTCTATTTGATTTTCAGTGTACATTATAGAATTAAATCAAAGATCATAGAAATACAGTTTGTTACCCCAGAAATTTCACTCTGCTATCTTTATTTTTTTTATTACCTAATTCCCCACAAAATGGAATATCTTTTTGAAATTAAAGGTTGTAACACATATAGAATTGTACAAACTATTATAGTAATCTCAATAACATCGCTGTGCCAAATCTCTAATTCAAACAATGAAGATTTGAGATATCATTCTATATATACTTTACAACTGGTATATGAATTTCCATAATACTTTTCCCTTCTAAGAAATTATAAATATATTTCTCACTGCAAAAGAACAGCAAACAAAAGAATTAAGTACCAAGGTTAGAACTGAACCAGGCCCCAATAAATAACTTGATAATTCAACATTCCTGTATTATAGTAGAATCCAGAAGTTGCCACGTAAGCCAGAAAACCATATAGTCCATGAAAATTTCCTTTAACTTTTGCAAGAGAGATTTTCCAAGGAAAATTAAATGTTGTTAAGCCCATAAGAAAGAAGTTCATCAGCCAAGACGTTTTCTCATTTTTTTCCATGCATTGCTATTCTGCCAGTTTCTCAGACAAAAAACCTTGAAATCATTGCTAACTTTTTCCTTACATTCTTCCTATAGGCACTCTCAGTCATATTACTAAAAAAAACACTGTATTTTATTCTATCTTCCAAAAATCTCCAAATGTTACACAGTTGTCAAATTCACCTTTTCCTCTTCCTCTTCATTAATAAATATGTATTTATTGATTACAATATGCAAAACATTGTCCCAAATATTACACATTAAAAATCGCATTTGACCTTCTAAACATCCAATGAGTAAGATTGTATTATTCTCCTTACTTTACATACACACAAAATAGATTCCCAGGAAAGTAAAGTAATTTTCCCAAGACTTTGGGGCTAATAGATGGTAGAGATGGAACAGAAGTCCAAAAAGGAATTGTAGCCTCTATGCTCTAGTAGTCATTGAAGACTCCTCCATTGATACCAACATATGTACCTGACCACATCACCCAGTAATTGAGATAAAATCTCCCCTCCAGGCCACATCTTCTCAGTAGTCTCTAGAGCTCACTGATATTTAGAAGCACTGAAATCTACTCTATTCTTCTCTGATTACTCAAAGGCCACCCATCCTTCAAAGCTAGGCTGTATCTCCTAATTGCTTCTCACCACTTTGATATGTTTTAAATAAGTTAATTTTTAAAGGTCTTATCATTAGTATAATATAGTGGTTAGGACTTCATATAAGACAAAGTGAATTCAGATCTAAGTACTTGCACTTAATAACCATGTAACTGGAGAAACTACACAAATATAATCACCCTTCAGTTTGTGTAAATGTGAAAAGCAGATGGCTACAATGTCTTCCTTACAAAATGTATTGAAATAATAGAGATATTGTAAAGAAAATACTCATGACTAGTTGACAGTGAACACCTGGTGAGCTACAACTATTACCATTGCCATCTAATCATATACTTTAAAGAAATATTATAATTCAAATATTAACGGTTTATCCCAATTTCCAGGCCAAATAAAACTTGGCTTTTAAGGGGAAAATAATCATATTTTGTGTTTTTTATGGCTCCTAAACCAATGTCAGAACTGATAGACCCAGAATAAGTGTTAAGTATATGTATGAATTAAATACTGAAGGATAGGACACAGATATAAGATACTAAACGAGTGGAAAAAATTCCATGTGGAATCTTTCATTCACTTATAGAAAATAAATAAAACTGCTGGAAAATCCACAACTTTCCCATCTTTAATCCGGACTTGGAACAAAGTACTTTGAACTCTCCAGCAGCCAGTCAGAAAATGAGGAGTAACAGGTTGTGACTACAAGATACGAAAGAAAATAAAATCTACGTTGATTAAATGGTGACTACAAAAAGACTGAAAATACATCTTCCCAATTATGACTCTCTACAGATAAGTAGTTTCTGAGATGAAAAAAATTACCATTAGGAACATTGACTTCGCTGGCTTCCACTGGGTGAGTGGCCCATTCTGGCAGGTCAGATAAAAAACTATTCTCAACAGAACTATTAGTGCCTGTGGTTGAGGTAGAGCCCAGTGGGCAATGGTAGTTTAAGAAAGGAAGTGAGGCCAGCGCAGTGGCTCACATCTGTAATCTCAGCAATTTAGGAGGCTGAGGCAAGTGGATCATCTAGAGTTAGGAGTTCAAGACCAGTCTGGCCAACATGGTGAACCCGTGTCTCTACTAAAAGTACAAAAATCAGCCACATGTTGTGGCATGCGCCTGTAATCCCAGCTACTCAGGAGGCTTAGGTAGATGAATTGCTTGAACCTGGGAGGTGGAGTTTGCAGAGAACCGAGGTCATGCCATTGCACTCCAGCCTGGGTGACAGAGCCAGACTCAGTCTCAAAGGAAAAAAAAAAAAAAGAATAGAAATAAAACTTTAGTGTCCTTGGCAAATATGTGTCCTTATTAAACAAGATAAAAATGGCATAATCCATATTGTTAAGCAAGGGTGCTAATGAGGGAGTCATAGAAAAATTATTGTAACTTGTGGTATCCATCCCTAGAAGGCTAAGTGAAGAGCACCCAATTTAGGCTTGTGAATTTCTTATCTCTGAATCCCCAGTATATCCCCTTGTCAAATCCAACTTGTAAAAAGTGAGCTATTTTTTGAATATTCTATTGTTTTTTTAAAAAAATTAAAGCTCTAAATATATTCAGAAAACTCCAATAAATTTTCACTAATTTTGTGGAAAAACCTTGGCAATAGTGACATCTTTGTAGAGCACAAGTGCATTTTTTCTGAAAGAAATAGTCTGAAAAACACATTTTGCTTATAATCAGATCCAAACTTTACAGTTTTGCTTTTATGTAGCAATTACCATGTCGTTAGAGAAGATGAGTAATATTTCCTGAAATTTAACTTGAGGAGGTAGTTAATTTAAAAAGTGACATTCTCAAAAGTTTCCAAAGAGAGGCTTTTTCTTCAACTTAGAAAAAATAAGAAATGGTTAAGGGATTCAGAAAATCTCAAAAATACAGTATTAATATACTTCATTCTTTAAGCAGCTTGAGACTTGGTAAATATTTAATTTTGAGGCAAATTTTGCTAGTATGATGGCTAGTTTACATGGGTTGAAAAAAGACAAAGAAAAAATGAAATGAGTTGCTTAACCCTGATTGCACCTTCTGACTCTGCAGCTTGGTCACCGTGTTAAACAGTGATGAACAGAGTGTAAAGGTTAAAGTCATGAACTCTGAAGTCAAATATTTGTGTTCTAATCATGGTTCCATGACTTTCTAGCTGTGTATGTTTAAGCAAGTTACTTATCCTCTCTGTAATCTTAGATATTAGTGTCTGCCCCATAGGTTTTTGTTGAAAGACTTAAATTAATTGTCGTAATATTTCCAGAACAGTACCTGTCACAACGTCAGGGCCTGAAAACTCTCCATAAGATACAATAAAAATAAAACAAAGGGAAGAGAGAGCAGTTAAGGGAGAAGAAGTAGGTGAAAGAGCCAACTGCAGGCATTGCCACATATAGAGGGCAATTTTTGGAGTGTATGCCCTCTGAGGAAATGAGATACAGGGAAAAAAGCAGCCCAGCAACTGCTAGACTCAATTATCTCCCTGCCCCAATGTACCTCCCTCCCTCTGCACCCACTACCCGGAACTAATAACTGTTTTGAAATCAACTACTTGACTTGTAAATTGATCATATTTAAGAATCGCCTTTTAAAGAGAAAAATTATACAGCTATTTCTTAGGAGGCTAGAAATTACCATATATTGACCCATTAGATAAGCGACCTCATAGGTAAGATTCCTGTAGATTATTTGGAATGACCTTAAGCCAATACACCGTGGATTTTTCTAAGTACTTAATAACATGAATCAGGGAGATGACTATTAGAATTAATCACAATAAGTTGATCTATCATAGACACCTAGGGGCTTTCCTTTCTGCTTCTGAGTGTTCATCAGCCTCAGGCAAAGACTTAGTCATTTATGATTTGGGCTGTGCAAAAGTAAATAATGGAAAAGTAGGTGGTTTGCAGGCCTCCATCAAGATTTAGGGGAAGACAAACTATAAACAATCACAATTAGAGAGAAGCCAGATGCTTAAGCAGGCTAAAATAATAAATAACTCTGATAAATAACTCTCAACAAAACTCTTTAAAAACAGAATCTTATCAAGAAAAAAAGGCCCTGCTTTCAATTAGATAACTTTTCAATCAGTTAACTGAAATGTCTGAATCAGAGGAGCATATCCTTCATCATATTGTTTTCCTTCTTAAAGGCTTCCTATCTTTCATCTCATTCTGTAAACACTTGAGTCCATTTTGTGGACTGCACTGAATGCTATATTATGCTTATTTACAGGCTATAATGCCCGTCTAAATTTATGGAGATAAATGTAGTCTCTGAAGGGAAAGATATTCTTAGTCCCTGGCTGCTCCTGGCTAAAGAGTCTTATTTTAGAGAAGTCGCGGCTGGAGAGGCAGGCTGCGGGAACTCAGAAACCAGCCTGCTCACACTTCCACTGCAGCTGCTGGAATTCAGCTGACTTGTATTCATTCTACTTTTCACGCAAAGGTGGCTTTGTCCTGTTTGCCCAACTGGAATGGTTGCATCAACATAAGAAAATTTTCTCCAAAAATGAATACTCAGCTGTATGTCAAAAACAAAGTGGAGAAAATAGCTTCTGCCCTCACCAAATCATCTCTAATAAGAGAGATAATATTTCCTTCAAAATGCTTATATTCATTTGAGAGAAAGATACAGAATATTTTACATGTGTCCCTCACTGGAATGTTTTTATTTAATTCAATAAAAATGGACTCACAGTTCTTTATGGTAATCTGGAGAAAATACTTATTTAACTTGTGTCTAACAGCCTGCATTTGTTTTGATAAAAACAATATTTTCATGGTAAATATTTACTTTGTGCTAAGTGCTGTCATTCTGCAATTGATGTCTGTAGTTATTGCAGGCAACATTGTGAAGGAGATAATGAAGCTCTTAGGTCTCTATCTCTCATCACCAGTGGCTCTCCATCCACTTTCTTAATGCTTCTTGTCACTGAGCATTAGTTATCGCAAGTGACTAAGTCTATGCCTGAGGCCTATAAATACATATTATTTTCCTCTGTTGCCCTGACCTGATCCTGTCTCCTACCTTCAACATTTACCTGTTTTAGACTCGAGTTCCTATAGCCCTGCCCACTTACTGGCCCAATTTGATCAATTAATTCATTGATCAGAGGCCATGATAATATGAAATCTAAAAGAAGAAACATTAACATTTTAAAATCTTCCACTGCCTTTTAAGAGTGTGTGTGTGTATATTTCAGATAGTATTGATGAGTTACTAGGGCAGTGGTTTAGTTAGTGGATCAGCTTGGACACTTCTGTGAATCCATGAATGTGGTAGGGGTTTGATTACATTAGTGTTACTTGGTCTGCAACTTCTCACTATTGAATTAGACAAACAAAAATCTTACCTCAACAGCAACGTCTCCAGCATTTCCTCGATGAGGAATTTCATATGCCTCTATTTGTTGCTTTGTGAGTCGTGCTAACTTTTCAGCTAGTTCCCTCCAGCCTTTTCCAAGCTTGACAGCTGAAGTCAGAACAGCAGCTTCTTGGGTGAGACGTGCTGCTACTCCTTGGCAATCCATTTTCAGAAGAGCCTGCAGCCACAATTACATGTCACAATTAAAAGCAACTAACTTGGGCTTTTTTCTTTATAACTTGGAGTTTTTATTACATATTCTAGAAATGAGAGTTCTTTTTTTCACTACTCATATAATTGAGATTTCTAAAGCTCTAGAAGTTGATACACATTTAAGCAAATTCTACAGGCAAACTGCAGTGGACATAACTAAGCCAGAGTTAGGGGAGATTTAGAACTAATTCAGTGGCTAATTATAGGATCTTGGATAAACCACTTAACTAAGGTGTGTCTTGGCATCTTTAATTGTGAAAACAGGAAGTTAAATTACATACTTCCAACATTACTCTGAAGTTCCGGCAGTCTATAATTTATCAATCCATGGTTGATTATTTACTCAAGAGAAATAATGCCTTGCTCTACCATAGGATTGGCTACAAGAATTTCTCTATAGTGTGTGGGACTGGTGATGGTAAATATCACCAAAATATGACTTAACACTTCCCAGAATCATGCCTGTTTCTTAAAAAAAAATGAGACACTCCTTCAACTTTGAACAAAGCTATTGATGTTTGTAAGTTTATATACATATAAACTTATTAAAAATACTCTCCCTCATCACCAATATAATGGTGTTGAACATAAACTATGAGGTATTAAAGACAAAACACTTAGTCTTCTACAATGCAAAATAGAAAACCATCAGACTCTTAGCTAACCATGCATGTTTCAAACAAGTCTACAAGTTTGTGCTTTGCTTTGAGTACCATTTTTAAAATATGGAATTATATCTATCTCTATTTCTTCTTTGTTCAAATGAGCAAATAGAGTAGTTCCTCTTTATACAGGAAACATTTCAAGACCACCCAGTGGATGTCTGAAATTGCAGATAGTGCCAAATTTTATATACACTATGTTTTTTCCTATACATACACACCTATGGAAAAATTTAATTTATAAATTAGGCACAGTAAGAGATTAACAAAAGTAACTAATAATAAAATACAACAATTACAGTTATATACTCTAAAATTTATGTGAATGTGGCCCCTCTCTCTCAAAATACCTTATTGCACTGTTCTTACCTATTTGTCAATCATGGTTGATGGTAGGTAACCAGAACCACAGAAAGTGAAACTGTGGATAAGAGAGAACTACTGTAAGCATGCTTGGTAGTCCCTCGTTATCTAATGGCACTTTGGAGCCTTATCTACCAATATAAAACAATAAGTAAAAATGAGTAAGCAAGTAAGGCAACTATTAAAGTTGATAACATGTTCATTTCCCTGGAAGTATGCAATTAGAAAGACTACCCATGGTTCTGATACATAAACAGATCCATACCTTGATACTGAAGAGTTATAGCCTCAGTGAGAAACAATACTGAGCCAGCAGGCCTGTGAAAGCGCTTTTAGTAAACTGTGGTGTGGGGTTACCACTTTATATTCCAGTTTCTTGTTTTAGGGAAAAGATCTGTGCTTGGAGTCACATAACATGAGTTTAAAACTTAGCTCCACTTAATATCAGTCTTTAGATGCATCACACAGTATCTCTTTAATGATTTTTAGAATGGATATAGTGTTAATTCCACTTTGTCTAAACCTCCATAATCATTGTAAAAATCAAATTGGATGCTGAAGTGCTTTAGAGAGTGTCAAGTATATAAGGACAGCCAGTGTCAATGTTGAGAGATCACTAAAGGGTTTGGATCCCACAATGTTTTTCAGCTTATCATGTCTCTTCCTGCCACACCAAATTAATATCCAATCCAAGAAAAATGTATATTTACTATGCAAATAAAATTTCAAGAGACAACTCTATAATCCATGCTCCATCACCTGCCAGTCAGAGAACCAGGCCTGAGCCCTTTCAAACAGAAATCCTGAAACCTCCACTAAAATTTAGAAACTCCCCACTTGAATGGACTCTCTACTAGATTGTTTATATAGCCAGTTGAGGCACTCTGATAATTAACATACCCCAAAGAGTACAGGTATGATCAGGGTTGAACTTTTAGACCATTTGGCCATTAAAACTTTTTGAGGCCACTAAAAGAACAAAAGAAATTAATTTTCCAATTCAAATTTTTGCAGGTGAATATTGAGCATAAGCTATGAGAGTTAATGAGCTATTACAAAATGCATATGCAGTTTCCAACAGGTAGAGCAGCTTCTGCAATTCAGTCTCTAATAGTTCTGAATGGCTCAGGTGAGATGATAATGCAGCACACATAAACAAATCTATCAACTTAGCAAGTGGGTATTGGAACTTTTGAATTTCAACTCCTGTAAGAATCACTGTAGAATCATAAAAAAAATTGAAAGAGATAATGTTATATATACTTATTTATTATATGAATCATTGACAATGCCATAGATTAAATTTTTTGTCCAAATATTTTCTACTTCTTTTGCATCTTGATTAAAACTTTGCTCCTTTGCATGAACCTGGCTATATAATTTTATTTACCTTCTACTGGGCACCAGCCTTTCACAATTATAGAGCTATTTAATACATACGCCTACATATAACAGTACTTACACAAACATTTTTACACACACACACACATTACTTTGTTTCATGAAGGCATAGTGGCTTTAAGCATGATTTTGGAGCCAAAAAATATTCAATCCCATCTGTAGGAATAGGCAACTGTAGGACTTGGGCAAATTGCCTCACTTTCAAAGACTTGATTTCCTCATCTATAAGGTGAAGACACTAACTATACTTATCCCATAGAGTTATAATTAATGGCTAAATGAGATAAGGTATATAGAGTGTTCAGCACAGTGCCAAATATACAGGAAGCAATAGAGAAGTATTAACAATCACTATTATTTTTACACTCATGTTTTAACCATTTTTAGAAACATGCTCTTGATTTTTTTTTATTTTTATAAAATTTTGAATTTCTACTTTATAGGTAAAAAGTACTTTGTAATTCTCCACTGAACCTTCCACTGGGTTGACTACTATGCTAAAGAATTTGACCCTAAGTGTCCTATTAAAACATGAGGATTAAGATGAGAATTACTAACATCATCATTTGGACTGTAATGCATTGCACACATAAGGATATTAAATTGCTAAAGTGAAGGATATTGATAATACATTTATAAAAGAAAAAGCCAGGTGTGCTGGCTTATGGCTGTAATTTCAGTGCTTTTGGAGGCCGAGGTGGGAAAATCGCTTGAGGCCAGGAGTTCAAGAGCATCTTGGGTGACATAGTGAGACCCCCATTCCTAAAAAAAAAAAAAATAGCCAGGCATGGTGGCACATGCATATAGTCTGTTACTTGGGCAGCTGCAGCTGAGCCCTGGAGGTTGAAGCTGCAGTGACTCATGATCATGCCACTACACTTCAGACTGGGTGACAGAGCCAGACTTTGTCTCAAAACAAACAAACAAATAAACAAAAAAACCCACACACTGAAAAGTAGATCTCTAACAGTGGTCAAGTTCGTTTTCTTTAGTTTCTTTAGTTTGCTCTTATCTACTTTCAGGTTATGGAGCCTCTCTGGTATCTTAAGAGCTGTCTAAATATTTGAGAAGTCATATCTGAACTGTTAAGCCCAGTACAAACAGTAAGTACCTTTAATTTTCTTTTAAAAGATTATTTTCAGAGGCCTCTTTCTTGGAGAAATCACAATTGAATCTCAAATTTAAGAAACCAGTTTTATGATCATGTAGGAAAAACTATATTTGCTATAACATGTCTTCAATATATTTAAGACTGTTGAATTTTTAAATATTTCTCCTCTCACATGTTTGGTTATAAATATCATCAAGTTAATAAAATTCTCTATGGCAATTCATTACTATGATCAAGCAATACTCACCACAATAAGTTCATGCAGAAATTTCCTCATATTTCTATCTGTGTGGCAATCTTCCTTTAACTTCTTTATAACATAAGAAACTTTTTCTGATTCTTTGTCTACTTGGATTTGATCAAAATCTTCCAGTGACAGATGCGTGTAACCCAGGACATCAGCTAAAACTTTCCAGTCGTAAACTTTTTCTGACACCAAGGTCAATACAATTGAATAGATATAAGTCAGTTTTTTTAAAGGCAGGGCAATTTGTTCGAGAAGATTTCTGGTTGTAAAGACACCATCTGATATAAGCATTACTTGCTCCCTTGGAATCACCTTGACATTTTTGCAGTGTACAAGTCCAATCTTACCTCTGAGGACTCCCACATACCATTCTTTCACTTTGGACTGCCCAAGAGCTTTTACCTTCCCTTCCCCGAGGAGAGCTATTGTGTCCCCTTTGAAATATTCTAGTAAGTAATCAATCTTGCTTTGTCTTAGCACGGCTTTCAGGGTTACCCCATAGTTGGTAAAGGTCAATGTTTTATCTTGAAATGTGGGATATTTAACAAGCATTTTTGGTAATAAAGGAGCAGACTTGATTTCCTCCTTCTTCTCCAAATAGCCTGGCAGATTAGAGAGCCTTTTTAGGTTTCTGGCCGGATCAGGGGTAGTGACAGAGAACTGTGCAACTGTTTCACCATTGAGAGACTCCACCTGAACACAAAAAACAAACAAGTGCATTTCTCCGTGCTCAGCTAAAGAAAATAAAAATTGTTGACGAACTACTTCACCTGCTTCCAACTGCTTCTGTTTAATTTCTTTTCTTTCTCTTTCTGTCTTTACTTTAAAATCAGGATCACAGGAAAAAACAGAAATACTTAAATCTTGTGGCTTGTCAAGTAAAAATGAATGTTTCCCCCAGAGCTGCAATACAACTGGAGATACGTTTTTTCCACCCTGCTTAATATCAGAAATTGTAAGCTTTCCTGGCATATAATTGTGTCCACAAACTGTGAAAACAACAGTAAAACTGGGATGGATATATTTGGGTCCATAAATTCCAATTGAGGTGGTTTTGTGGATATAATCCCAAATGGTGGCAGCTGGTGACTGAAGAGGTTTAGCTTGTGCAGCAACCACTAGATACATCACCGGGCTCAAGTCTATTAGCTTGACTTGGATAGTATCTTTGTAAATGTAGCAGTTGCTTAACACTTTAAAAGGGCCTTCTTTATCCAAGCTATGTAAGCAAACCATTTCGGTCATGACTTGGCTGAAAGGATCCTTTCTCACTTGAGCCCCAGTTTTCATCTCCAGCAAAAGGGCTTCCATTGTATTGAGGTTGCCTAACATGATTTCCAACAGTGGACTCACAGTGCATGAAAGATCATGGTTAAGCATGTGTGGCGGATCAAGGAAAGCCCTTAGAGACACTTCTTGGAATTCTCCCACAGCCACATGACCTTGGGGCACATGAACAGTGATGTCTGATTCAGGTAGTTGTATCGACCCTCCTTGATGGTTTACTTTACAAGCTACGGTGATCTCGGCAAGTTGTGTTTGGGCCCATCCAGGGCTCTGACTAATTGTATTCAAATCAAGGCAGGAGCGGGCCAGCTGGCGTTGACTTAACCAAGCCATTTTATAAGCTTCTCGGTCATTTTTAAGCCATTCTAAGTCTTGTAGTAGGATCTGGTCAGAGTTATGTATATTCTGATGGACATATGCTGTATCGTCTAAAATGTCCAGAAGTTCTGAAACACTTTTAGATCGTCCAGATTTTCTTGAGGAAGACTTCCTAAATAAGTGATGCACATCAAGTTCATCACCTGAGGAATCAAAAGAATTTTCATTTTCTATTTCTCTGAAGAAAAGAAAAGGATCTTCCTTTAAGATGGAAATATTATTTCTCTTTCCATTATTTCTTTGCTGAGATATATCATCCAAAAATGGATTAGAAGCAGACAGTTCACTCCAGAATGGATTTGTAACTTTGGAAGCATTATCATCATGAAGGGTGAAAGCATCCGGCCAATTTTGAAGCAAGCCTGGGTCCTGGCATCCTTGTTATTTAAAGAAAAACAAAGCGAAACAAAGATAAGGTGGCATTCTGAGTTATAATCAAGATTAATTTTTCTCATAGCTTAAAAATTCAGGACTTACTTTCATTTTTCTTTCTAATCTCTAGTCTACTAGCTAACACAAACTGTGTCAAATTTGGTCAAATGTGTATGTAACAAGAAAATAATATTTTCTCTACCAGGTTATTTTTTGAACATATGTAATGTTATTTTAAGATATCACAATTTATAAATAAGTAAATATTTAATATGATGTAATAATATATTTAACACATTTTCTTGAAAATGACTTAGACTAGCATGTGCTTGTACTTTATTATTTAATGTATCATGCTTATAAAAGCAAATTTCTAGTCGAGTAGAATAATTCTATTATCCATATTTTTCTAAACATTGAATAGTTGGTCTCATTACATCCAAAATATTAACTTAATGATTTCCTTTTCAGATAATATTCAGTATATAGAAAATATCAAATACATCTGTTAACATTTAAAATAATTTTTAAAACAACATGCTAAATTAGAAAGTCATTAATTTATTAGATAATTCTGTAATAACTTTGTATTGATAAATGTTAATAACATTAAAATTTTTTTCAGGAAAATGAATTCATAAAATGAACATTGAAAAATTAGACCACCGTTTCTTTTATTGAACAAAGGAATTCATTGCACTCGTGCTTTCAATGACAAATAACAATTTTACCACTAGAAATTGAAGCATTATTACTTTGGAAAGTGTCTTAAGAATTCGTAACATGAAAAATTGACATTTTTATTATAAGAATTTTTAGATATCCCATAACATTGATGCCATTTTTGTGTGTATAGAGCAACTCATACTTGGTCATTTCTTAGTAAATAATTGTAAAGACTCTGTGGACTTTGTGAAGCTAGTGCTGCTTTTAGAGACAGGCCGAATTTTCAGAAGTTCTATTGAAAAAAGAATTTAAGCCAACTGTCAGAAATTTTTTGGTTTAATACACGTAGAACTATTATCTTAATTGGAATGTTTTTAAGTCTTATATGTTAAAAAATTAGAAGATGCAGGCCAGGCATGGTGACTCATGCCTGTAATCCCAGCACTTTGGGAGGCTGAGGCAGGCAGGTCACAAGGTCAGGAGTTCCAGACTAACCTGACCAAGATGGCGAAACTCTGTTTCTACTAAAAATACACATTAGCCAGGCTAAGGCAAGAGAATCACTTAAACCCAGGAGGCGGAAACTGCACTGAGCTGAGATCGTGCCGCTGCACTCCAGCCTGGGCGACAAAGCAAGACTCCTCCTCGAGGAAAAAAAAAATTAGAAGATGCATTTTAAAAAATAAAAGTGACGTTTCTATTACATTCACACTTTTCTTTAATACAGTTGCCACTAACTCTTTAAACTTACTTTTCCTCTGAGAATCAGGAGAATTTTTTAATGCACCATGAAGATTTCCTAGGCTGACCAACTTTCGGAGAGACTTTTTAACACCCAAATTCATTATAGTTATGGCATATAACCCTCGTTTCTTAGCAACGTTTTTGTTTTTATAATAGTTACCATAATCCGTTGGCTGTGCTATTTTATTTTGCACATCTTTTTAACTATTCATATGATAAAAACAGGATTTTATAATTCTTTTATCTTCCAAATTATTTTCAGTGGTAGATCTCCAACAGTTATTGGTGATGAATTTCATGTACTTACATGGACAAATCACAACAATTATAAATTTCTGTACCTGTAATATTGCAACTTTCTGAGAGTTTTCCAGTTTCCATGTCAGCCAAATTTCCTTCAGACCTACTTCATGTAATTCCTCCTGACCAAAAATGTTTTCTTTCACTGATTAACATTTTTCCATCTATAAAGTAAATAGATCCATATTTTTTGTAAGCATGCATACACATGTTGGCAGAGAAAATAAACTCAAAGACATCATACATATTTCTATAAAGAACTGCATGTGAAAATCTTCTGTATAAATAATCTTCTACTCCTGGTAGGATACTGAACTAGACATACTAAACTATGTATTATCATTCCACTAAAAAATGCTCAATAAAGTACAATAAATAAATAAATAAATATGCTTAGATTTGGATTAACACCAATAACCAAATCTGGAAATGCATTACTGATCCCACATAAAGTAATTAATGAGAATCCCAAGGATAACAAAAAAATAGTAAATTGAAAACTCAGTAAGTAAACATTTCCAGTTGGGTGACTGGAGGACTAAATATCACAAACTAAAACTTCTCCCCTAAATCATTGTATACATTCAGTGCAGTTCCAAGAAAAATCACATGTACTTCATATGTATATTTGTTACTCCTTTTTTAATTCTTAAAATTTTATTTATTTCCTAGTGGATAAATTTATATATATTTATTGCATACAGCATATTGTTTTGAAGCATATTGTGTTTAACAACATATAGAGCAACAATAACTTTGTAAGCTATTTTCATATTTATATGGAGAAGCAAAGAGCTAATATTCAAGATAACTCAGAAGAAAAGCACAACAGAATGAATATGCACTACCTATCAGATATCAGCATTTATTTTAAATAGGTACTAAGTAAGACAGCATGGAAGTAGAACATAAATAGATGAAAGATATAGAATAGATATTCCAGAACCAGACCCATCCTTATATGAAGGATTTGTGTATGGCACAGGTGGTCATGCAGATTGATGTTTTCATTAAACAGTGATGTTGCCATTGGTTGTGCATGCTAAAAAAATTTACATTGATCATTATCTCATCCTGTGAACAAAAAATAAATGCCAAAAGATTAATAAATCCAAAAGTGAAAAAAAGTTTTAAAATTTTAAAGATAGTCCAGAGATTGTCTGGGAAAAGAGAATTTCTTAAGGTGCACACACTTATACAATATGCATATCCTATTTTTAGGATGTGCATAAAACCACACGTTATAATGAAACATTCTATATATCAAAAGACATCATTTACCATTGGTTAAAAACACAACACAAAACTGGGACAATTTATTTTCATTGCACATGACTGAAAAAAGAAAAATAATTGGATTCCAAAATATATCAAAGATCCCACAAATCAATAAACAAAACGACACTATAGGATTTTTTTAAATTCTCTGAACAAACATTTCTCAAAAACTGGAAACACAGATGGCCCCTAGATATATGTAAATATGATCAATCTCATTGGTAATTAGGAAAATGCAAAATGAAACCCCATGAAACACAATTTTCACCTTCCAAATTTGCAAACGTTTTAGTCTAGCAACACCAATTATTGACAAATAATGTGCAACAAAGGGAAAGACTATATACTTGTAGTGGAAGTGACAATATGTGCAACCAGCTGGAAGTTAGTCTGGCATTGTCTAGGAAATACGCTTACAGCTTAGTACCCAACAATTCCAATCCTAGCTATTTGTTCTAGTAAGAATTCTGCAAATGTGCCTCGAAGAGATATACATGAATGTTCATTATATTATCAAAAAAAAAAACAAACCTGAAATCCCTAGGATATTCCCCAGAATATCCTTTGCCATATGAGTGGATAAATAAATTGTGGCATTTTAATGCAATGAAGTAAACAACTATTGAAACAGATGAATCACAACTAAAAGTATGAACACATACTAGTAGTTAGCATATCATACCTGGGACTCAGCCTTCTTTACATATGTAATTTCTCTTTAGCCCACAACAACACTAAAAAATAGTTATTTTAAATATGACTTTCAGAGTCTTAGCAACAGAACATAACAAAACCACAATGTCAAACATCAAGTCAGCCACTGACCAGATCAAGTCAGCCACTGACCAGAAGAAATTACTTGCTCATGTTATAGCTACTGCATGCAGCCCATAACTCACAATGCCACATACACTATGTCAGACTCAAGGTTCCCAATGTACCTTCTGAGGCTGTCCCACCTTCCAGTTCACATTTCCCTTATTTATTTATTTATTTATTTATTTATTTATTTATTTATTTATTTAGAGACAGAGTCTCACTATGTCATCCAGGTTGGAGTACAGTGGCACGATCTCAGTTCACTGTAAACTCTGCTTTCTGGGTTCAAGTGATTCTCATACCTGAGCCTCTGGGATTACAGGCAACCACCGCCAGTCCTGGCTAATGTTTGTAGTTTTAGTAGAGATAGGGTTTCACCATGTTGGCCATGCTGGTCTCAAACTCCCGAACTCAGGTGATTCACCCGCCTCAGCCTCCCAAAGTGCTAGGATTGCAGGCTTGAGCCACCACGCCCAGACCAGTTACTTCAAACCTTACTTTGTGTGTGTTGACCACATCTCCTTCAATGGTGACCCCCTCCTTCTTTTTTATTAGACTCTTCTTTCAAGTTCTTTACTTTTTTTTTTCAAGTATTTTATTTTATTTTTTAAAGAAACCAAAGTCTTTTCTGGTATATAAACATGAAAGAAAAAATTAAAACAAGATGGAAAAGAGGGAAAAGGAATAAAAGAAAAAGAAAAGAAAAAAGAGGGAAGCATGTGTTTCCAGACATGATAATGAAATAAATCCAAAAATCATCTCATAAGGTGGCATACCTTAAAAAAAAATCCAGAGTTGCAATAGCAATTTTTTTCTCTGATTGGGGAAACTACATTGAAAAAAAATGGGTAAAAAGTTGAATTATGCAATATTCAAATTGCACTGAAACCTCAAATTTCCTGGCAGATCTTCCAAATGCTATGTTGATTTTACCAAATATGATGTCCAAAATTAAAAGTTTTTAGCACAGTATAAGTAGCCAAAATTTTGAGGTAGAAAAACTGAGCTCAAGTTCCTCAACAAAATGTAACACACTAACTTAAAATTAGGAACAAATGTCTAAATGGAAAAATATTTTCAAAAAGATAAAATATATTTAAAAAGAAAATCAACTTAGTAAAGTAACTAAACTCTTTAATTTTTTGTGAAGAAAGAGCAAAATGAACAATATATACTGAGGATTGCTTTAGGCAAATAAACCTTAATATGAAAAATAGTTACAACCAAATGGAATGTAGGTAGATGTCCTTAACCACATAAAAACCAGGAACAATGCCTTATGCAGCTATGACCTTGAAGGATCATAACCTCTCAGAAACAAGGGCACTAAGTGGTCATCAGCTGAGATTCTTTGTGGATTATCCTTATTCTCCAGTCACTCAAGCAGATCTTCACTATCCTTCAGAGTAGTTGTTCCAAATCTCAGTGGCACCAGGTTAACTTGGAAGGCTTAATCAAACAACCCTTTGGAACCACCCCAGTGTTTCTAATCCAGAAGGTCTGGGACTGTGCACAAGAATTTTATTTCTAACAAAGCTGACAAATGGTACTGATGCTGTGGTTCAATTCCAGCGTGCACATATTGAGAACCACATTCTGAAAGCTCCTTCCCTAGCCAAATGGTTTCCCTAGCCACTCTCACTATCCCCCACCAAATCCTCCCTCTCATAATCTTTCTCTACACACATACATCCCTCACAATACTATCCTAAATCTAATTTTTTTTCTATGAATCCAAGGTGAGGTGGTATGGGGGGAAAAAGTCCTTTACTGGAAAGACAAAGATCTGCCCCGCCGATGGCAGTGTTTGTTTACACAGGCACAAATCACACTAGCCACATTTAGCATTTCCATGGGTTTTCTTCCAGTTAAACCCCATACTCGATGACAACTGCTCTCCAAAACAGGATTTTTTTAAACATTTTCTAGAGAAGCATGAGTCAGTTTTTGTTGGAATGAGTAAATGAGAATAGAGCACTCTAGTATTTATTTAATTAGGGGCATGATTTTTCAATATGCCTTTTAAAAACACTTAGGCTGATTTTGCATGATCCATGACTTTTTCCTTAAAAAAAATGAACAAAGTTTTTCCCTTGATTTGTTTTACTGTTTAAACTAGACCCTAAGAAACTACAAACATTTACCAAATGTACAACTTAGCAAAAGATGTCAGAAGATATTTTTTGTGAGGGTAAGGGGCGGGGAGCAATGCAGTGTTTGGAATAAGTAACCAAGAAAATAATGCCACTTAAAAAATGTCTTTAAAATGTGTCCTTTGAATTGCTTATGGTAGTAATTACATAGTGAAAACTGCTGTTATTATCCAGTCAGCAGGTTCAAAGAATTTTCCAATTAGTCCTTGAATACCTGAAACCTCGACGATTTCCATGAATGTGTACTGGATTCAACTCTTGATCTATGTGATAATCAAAATATGCACATGTTGGCTGTAACTCTTATAGGTGACTGCAAATACTAAAATGTCAGGAGAGCAATGGTTGGACTAGTAGAATTTTCCTTCACCCTCCAAATGCCAAACCTGCCCAAGTAACACTGTATTATCTTGCAAATGCAACGAGTATATATTTTTAAAAAAAAAAGGCTCGCAAAGGAATTATAATCAGTTGATGATACTCACCTGGTATGATTTTACTGGACATTACCATTCTTGGAGTGGCCTTACTGGATCTTACCCCTAGGGCAACTTCTGATGGGCTAGTGTCATTCTCTGATTGGTAATTTTTAATAACATTCACACATACACAAGCATACCTTCTCCCAGTTATTAAACACTTAGAGTGTTACATCTGATTATTCTGACCAAATATTTTAAAAACCTGACAGCCTGACAGGGCAAATTTTAGCAGTTACTTTTCCCCAAGGCAGAGTTTCAGAAGACTCTCCAGTGAAGACAGCAGGTGCCCAGGGCATTAAGCAATATTAGAAACCCATAATAATTTATATGACACCGCTAACCATGGTAATTCAAAACATTTCATCAATACATCATCTTGTTAATATCACCATGTCAAGATGTCTATGGCTTCTTTATATCTTGTTATCCTTC